CGCACGACGACGGACGAAAAGCGATTAGAATAGGTCACTTGAGCAAAGCTCAGGTGACCTAAAAAGCTAATATGCTAAACTATTCTTCTTTCTAATCGTCTGACCCTATGTTGTTATATCAGAAACACAATATTCTAGGCCCTATCTGGAGTATGGTACAGCAATATATAAGGAAGGTGTGTCCTTTAATATTTTAATTATGAATATATTGCATAATTTAAAAGAAACAGATTGTAGATATTTACTCCAGGTTTTTCTCATTATATATTTACTAGTAATGGACTTGAGGTTGAGGTGAATATATATGTGGCTATATGGACCTGAAAAGGATATACATGTATATATGTACAGTGTATTGACCAAGACAAAGTTGAGGTAAATATAACTGTTTAGGTCCATACAACCACAATACAATGGAAATAAACAGTCTATAACTGATACATTTTGTAGAGAGCCCTTTGATGTTGCAATGGAAGTGAGGTCCTAAAGGGATATTAACCTACTGTTTCAAAAATAAGTAACTCCGAGTCAATATCACAAATCACTAACCCCCATGTGATAATGATCCAAACTCCGAGTCAATATCACAAATCACTGACCCCCATGTGATAATGATCCAAACACCGAGTCATTATCACAAATCACTGACCCCCATGTGATTGATAATGATCCAAACTCCAAGTCAATATCACAAATCACTAACCCCCATGTGATTGATAATGATCCAAACTCAGAGTCATTATCACAAATCACTGACCCCCATGTTATTATGATCCAAACTCTGAGTTAATATCACAAATCACTGACCCCCATGTGATAATGCTCCAAACTCCGAGTCAATATCACAAATCACTAACCCCCATGTGATTGATAATGATCCAAACTCCATGTCAATATCACAAATCACTAACCCCCATGTGATTGATAATGATCCAAACTCCGAGACATTATCACAAATCACTGACCCCCATGTTATAATGATCCAAACTCCGAGCCAATATCACAAATCGATGACCCCCCATGTTATTATGATCCAAACTCTGAGTCAATATCACAAATCACTGACCCCTATGTGATAATGATCCAAACTCTGAGTCAATATCATAAATCACTGACCCCCATGTTATAATGATCCAAACTCCGAGTCAATATCACAAATCACTAACCCCCATGTTATTATGATCCAAACTCTGAGTTAATATCACAAATCACTGACCCCTATGTGATAATGATCCAAACTCGGAGTCAATATCACAAATCAGTGACCCCCATGTGATAATGATCCAAACTCGGAGTCAATATCACTAATCACTGACCCCCATGTGATAATGATCCAAACTCGGAGTCAATATCACTAATCACTGACCCCCATGTGATAATGATCCAAACTCGGAGTCAATATCACAAATCAGTGACCCCCATGTGATAATGATCCAAACTATGAGTTAATATCACAAATCACTGACCCCCATGTTATTATGATCCAACTAATGAGGATGTAGAAATAATATACATGATCACCATTACCTTCTAGTTCCTCAGTGGAAGCACAGTATGTACACACTTAGTATTTGGCAACCAATGTTTTATTCATACTTGTACGTTACACATACATGTAATTGTCAATTATAGATCTTCTAGAAAAGTGCACAGTCATATGCTATGGATATCTGGAGCATGAACCCCCAAAAAATGTATATAATAATAATATATATATTTTATATGTAATAATCCCACAGATCATAAGAGACTAAATAGTAATTATATCGATAAATGATACATCAGTGGACTGATGTCAGAGACGAGATACTACGTCTTTCTATGGATTGGTTAAATTTGCATATATATATATATCGGTCACTAACCAGACCGACGCCGAGAACTACATCACACCAAACATTATCACCGTACAAAACCAATCGGCAGCACAATCGATCAAAAATAGCAATATGATTATTCTACAAATATGGAGGAAATAGTCTAAGATGAGGAACATCACTGTAAGATGAACTAATTAAACAATTGTCAGACTTTTAACATAATATAAACAAACACAATTTGTAATTCAAACGGCTTGTTTTCTCGGTCATGTCACCGTGACACTGAAATAATGTTGATCACTGACTTACCTCCTCTGACGGTGTCTGATTTGGTTTCCGTTTTAATCTGTTCCAGTTGACAATATTCCCACTGTGAACAACTAAACTTGTAACTTTCGGGACAACAGGTATTTCGTCGGCCATCTCGCTACTTTGCTAGGTGCCCGGTCTGTGTCAGTCAGGCGTTTGCACTAAACGATACTGAAACGTTTTTTTTTTACAGTAATTAAGGATGCGTGTACTTTATCGTAAGAAAATGTAAATAATCTGAAAAATTCATAAATGCAATCAGAATTTGTCTATAGTTTGGTCCAGACAGCGTCAGCTACCGAGTAGGGTAGCCTAGTGTACTGGCATGGATAATCCAAAAGTTTTTGGTCGTAACTCAGTTTTGAAGAGTTACCCCCCTTTACATGGGATTCGGGTCGTTTCGCCCTAAATCACATTCACACTTTTGTTAAAAATTGAGAGTTTTAGACTGTCAGGTTACGATTTAGGATTTCTTTAATATAATTATAATTTTTACTCTAAGGGAGTGAATTTCAGCAAAATTTGTATAGGTATATTTCATAAGAAGGTATTTTAAACATGTGTATGCCATTTTAGCAAATATGACTTTTTTTTCACTGACCAGCCCCTTTAAGAAGTGGTTTGAAGATTTTAAGACATTTGACCCCTGTCACCTTGAAAGTGGCTCAAGGTCATTCATTTGAACAAACTTGGTAGCCCTTCATTCCAGCATGATCCAGGCCAAATATCAGTACCCTGTGCCTTTTGGTTAATGAGAAGTCGTTTGAAGATTTTAAGACATTTGACCCATGTGACCTTGAAAGTGGGTCAAGGTCATTCATTTGAACAAACTTTGTAGCCCTTCATTCCAGCATGATACATGCCCAATTNTTGAAAGTGGGTCAATGTCTTTCATTTGAACAAACTTGGTAGCCCTACCTCCCAGAATGCTCCAGGCCCAATATCAGTACCCTGTGCCTTTTGGTTGTTGAGAAGAAGTCGTTTGAAGATTTTAAGACATTCGACCCCTGTGACCTTGAAAGTGGGTCAATGTCTTTCATTTGAACAAACTTGGAAGCCCTACATCCCAGATTGCTCCAGGCCCAATATCAGTACCCTGTTCCTTTTGGTTGTTGAGAAGAAGTAGTTTGAAGATTTTAAGACATTTGACCCCTGTGACCTTGAAAGTGGGTCAAGGTCTTTCATTTGAACAAACTTGGTAGCGCTTCATTCCAGCATGATCCAGGCCAAATATCAATTCCCTGTGCCTTTTGGTTAATGAGAAGTCGTTTGAAGATTTTAAGACATTCGACCCCTGTGACCTTGAAAGTGGGTCAAGGTCTTTCATTTGAACAAACTTGGAAGCCCTACATCCCAGATTGCTCCAGGCCCAATATCAGTACCCTGTGCCTTTTGGTTAATGAGAAGTCGTTTGAAGATTTTAAGACATTCGACCCCTGTGACCTTGAAAGTGGGTCAAGGTCTTTCATTTGAACAAACTTGGAAGCCCTACATCCCAGATTGCTCCAGGCCCAATATCAGTACCCTGTTCCTTTTGGTTGTTGAGAAGAAGTCGTCTGAAGATTTTAAGACATTTGACCCCTGTGACCTTGAAAGTCCAACAAGGACATTAAGTTGAACAAACTGGTAGCCCTTCATCCCAGCATGCTACATGCCCAATATCAGTACTATGGGCCTTTGGGTTATTGAGAAGAAGTCTTTTGAAGATCTAAGACATTTGACCCCTGTGTCCTTGAAAGTTGGTCAAGGTCATTCATTTGAAAAAAATTGGTAGCCCTTCATCCCAGCATGATCCAGGCCAAATATCAGTACCCTGTGCCTTTTGGTTAATGAGAAGTCGTTTGAAGATTTTAAGACATTTGACCCCTGTGACCTTGAAAGTAGGTCAAGGTCTTTCATTTGAACAAACTTGGAAGCCCTACATCCCAGATTGCTCCAGGCCCAATATCAGTACCCTGTGCCTTTTGGTTATTGAGAAGAAGTCATTCGAAGATTTTAAGACATTTGACCCATGTCACTTTGAAAGTGGGACAAGGTCATTCATTTGAACAAACTTGGTAGTCCTTCATCCCAGCATGCTACAGGCCCAATATCAGTATCCTGGGCCTTTTGGTTATTAAGAAAAAGTCGTTTGAAGATTTTATGACATTTGACCCCTGTGACCTTAAAAGTGGGTCAAGATCATTCATTTGAACAAAATTGGTAGCCCTTCATTCCAGCATGATACATGCCCAATTTCAGTACCCTGGGCCTTTTGGTTATTGAGAAGAAGTTGTTTGAAGATCTTAAGACATTTGACCCCTGTGTCCTTGAAAGTTGGTCAAGGTCATTCATTTGCACCAACTTGGTAGCCCTTCATCCCAGCATGCTACATGCCCAATATCAGTACTACGGGCCTTTGGGTTATTGAGAAGAAGTCGTTTGAAGATTTTAAGACATTTGACCCCTTTGACCTTGAAATTGGGTCAAGGTCATTCATTTGAACAAACTTGGTAGCCCTTCATCCCAGAATGCTACAGGCCCAATATCAGTTACCCTGGCCTATTGGTTATTGAGAAGAAGTCATTTGAAGATCTTAAGACATTTGACCCCTGTGTCCTTGAAAGTTGGTCAAGGTCATTCATTTGAACAAACTTGGTAGCCCTTCATCCCAGCATGCTACAGGCCCAATATCAGTTCCCCTGGCCAATTGGTTATTGAGAAGAAGTCGTTTGAGGATTTTAAGGCATTTGACCCATGTTACCTTGAAAGTGGGTCAAGGTCATGCATTTGAACAAACTTGGTAGCCTTCATCCCAGCATGCTACTGGACAAATATCATAAGCTCACATGGCCCTTTGGGCCATGTGAGCTAAAAACGACTGGTGCAGATCTGAACCGAGGCCGACTTCAGGAATATTCGGCACATGAAGATTGAGGGGTCCAGACCTGCCTGATCAAAACTAAAATGCTGACTATTGCTGGTTTGCATTATTTCTTTATAAAACAAGGTTCAGACAAATGTAAATTTTAAGATACGTTATATAATTTAGAAGATGTGTGATAGAAGGAGATATTATTGTTATTTAATTATTCTCCAAAACTGTGCATTATTTGGCTCTGCCTATTGTTTGGCCCAAGTGTGTTCGTTCATCGTGGAATGTCTGCACCACCTGAACCGTTTCAACCGGGATAAGTGAATGTTACCCTTGTTAAAGATTTAAACACAATTGACCCCTGTGACCTTGAAAGTCCAACAAGGACATTAAGTTGAACAAACTGTATAGCCCTTCATCCCAGAATGCAACTTGTCAAATATCACCACCCTATACCTTATTATTATTGAGAAGATGACTCTTGAAGAATTATACACAATTAGCTAGATGTGATCTTGTAAGTTTGCCAAGGTCATTCACATGAACAAACTTGATAGCTCTTCATTTGAGCATGCTACTAACCAAATATCAACATCTTTGTATTTTGGTTATTCAGGAGAACTTCAGAAGTCATTCAAAGTTTTTAACATATTGGCCCCCTGTGACCTTGAATATGGGTGAAGGTCATTCACATAGCCTGTGCATCAGTTCCCAAGGGGTCAGTCCCTTTATTTGTACATATTTGAATCCCCACCACTTGAAAATGCTTCCAAACAAATATGGTTGATATCAATCTCTTAGTTAAAGAGAAGTTGCTTAAATCAATATGGCCATATTACCCATATATGGCCCTGCCCCTCAGCACCCCAGTGGGTCCAGTGAGCCCTTCCATTTGTACAATTTTGAATCCCCAACACATGAGAATGCTCCCAGACATATCTTAGTTTCAGAGAAGAAGACACTTAAAGCAATATGGCCAAATTACCCTTTTTTGGCCCCGCCCCTCAGCACCCTCCATTTGTACATTTTGAATCCCCACCACCAAGGGATGCTTCCAGTCAAATTTGGTGAATTTCCTGTCAGTGGTTAAAGAAGAAGTTGTTTGATTGACGGTAACCTTGAATGGCATAAGCTCTCCTTCAACTCGGTGAGCTAAAAATACCATCCATAATATTAATATGTATGCATACTTGTGATCTATCATTTATTATTTGAAAGCTGGTAAACTGGTGATGCATCCTTATTAACAAATACCCCATTTTTTGGACTTTTCATATATGAGTAATTTTCATCCCAATTCAAGCTTCACTGACTTCATTTTGGGCCACCTATACATTTATTGTTGTTAGAACCTGCCATCCAAACACCATACAGCTTTTATTTTCCAGACAACCATTCTATATCACAGACCAGAATTAATTACAACTGAAGGGGTTGCCTAAAAATAAACAGCAGTATGCCTATTTGACCTAAAAAAAATCCCTTAAACAAACAAAACCCAACAGAACTGTGATATGATTACAGTGGATTTTATTGATGATGATAATAGAAATAATGAAATGCATTGTAGAATATTACAATGGATGTATCTCTATATTAATGGATGTATGTCTGTATTAATGGATGTATCTCTGTATTAATGGGGGTATCTCTATATTGATGGATGTATCTCTATATTAATGGATGGATGTCTGTAATAATGGATGTATCTCTGTATTAATGGATGTATCTCTGTAGTAATGGGTGTATCTCTATATTGATGGAGGTATCTCTATATTAATGGATGGATGTCTGTATTAATGGATGTATCTCTGTATTAATGGGGGTATCTCTATATTGATGGATGTATCTCTATATTAATGGATGGATGTCTGTAATAATGGATGTATCTCTGTATTAATGGATGTATCTCTATATTGATGGATGTATCTCTGTATTAATGGATGTATCTCTGTATTAATGGGTGTATCTCTATATTAATGGATGTATCTCTGTATTAATGGGTGTATCTCTATATTAATGGGTGTATCTCTATATTAATGGATGTATCTCTATATCAATGGATGTATGTCTGTATTCATGGATGTATCTCTGTATTAATGGGTGTATTTCTATATTAATGGATGTATCTCTGTATTAATGTGTGTATCTCTATATTGATGGATGTATCCCTATATCAATGGATGTATGTCTGTATTAATGGATGTATCTCTGTATTAATGGGTGTTTCTCTATATTGATGGATGTATCTCTGTATTAATGGATGTATGTCTGTATGAATGGATGTTTCTCTGTATTAATGGATGTATCTCTATATTAATGGATGTATCTTTATATTAATGGATGTATCTCTGTATTAATGGGTGTTTCTCTATATTGATGGATGTATCTCTGTATTAATGGATGTATGTCTGTATGAATGGATGTTTCTCTGTATTAATGGATGTATCTCTATATTAATGGATGTATCTCTATATTAATGGATGTATCTTTATATTAATGGATGTATCTCTGTATTAATGGGTGTATCTCTATATTGATGGATGTATCTCTGTATTAATGGATGTATCTCTACATTAAAACCTTCTAGTTAGTAGTACTGTAACAGAATCTCCAAGTGACGAAATCAAATCAATAAAAGTTTTAGAATTACTAGCTCCAAAGACCAACCCTTATCAAACTAATGAGATTTTTGAATTCTTCAATTCCAATACATTTAACATGATATGCAGTTATCAATCATTATTAATAGCATGGCTTCTTTTCAGATCCCAAACATTCAAACCCAACCATTTTTCCATTAGGCTTTGAAGATTTCCAAGAGTCAATGTACCTCCAACACTTACTGAAGTCCATGTAAACTTGCAGCAATTCCTGAACACTTTGTAGTGTAGGTTACTACATGTATATTTATACTTGTAGTCTGGGTTACTGCATGTATATTTATACTTGTAGTCTGGGTTACTGCATGTATATATATACTTGTAGTCTGGGTTACTTCATGTACATATATACTTGTAGTCTGGGTTACTACATGTATATATATACTTGTAGTCTGGGTTACTGCATGTATATAAACAACTTGTAGTCTGGGTTACTACATGTATATATATACTTGTAGTCTGGGTTACTATATGTATATAAACAACTTGTAGTCTGGGTTACTACATGTATATATATACTTGTAGTCTTGGTTACTCCAAGTATATATACTCGAGTCTGGGTTACTACATATATACTTGTAGTCTGGGTTACTACATGTATATATATACTTGTAGTCTTGGTTACTACAAGTATATATACTTGTAGTCTGGGTTACTACATATATACTTGTAGTCTGGGTTACTGCATGTATATATATACTTGTAGTCTGGTATACTACATGTATATATATACTTGTAGTCTGGGTTACTACATGTATTTATATACTTGTAGTCTGGTATACTGCATGTATATATATACTTGTAGTCTAGGTTACTACATGTATATATATACTTGTAGTCTGGGTTACTACATATACTTGTAGTCTGGGTTACTACACATGTAGTCTGGCCATGAGTTATTACATGTATATATATACTTGTAGTCTTGGTTACTACAAGTATAAATACTTGTAGTCTGGGTTACTACATATATACTTGTAGTCTGGCTTACTGCATGTATATATATACTTGTAGACTGGGTTACTACACATGTAGTCTGGCCATGAGTTATTACATGTATATATATACTTGTAGTCTGGGCTACTACATGTATATATATACTTGTAGTCTGGTATACTACATGTATTTATATACTTGTAGTCTGGGTTACTGCATGTATATATATACTTGCAGTCTGGGTTACTACATGTATATATATACTTGTAGTCTGGGTTACTACATGTATATATATACTTGTAGTCTGGGTTACTGCATGTATATATATACTTGTAGTCTGGTATACTACATGTATTTATATACTTGTAGTCTGGGTTACTACATGTATATATATATACTTGTAGTCTGGTATACTACATGTATATATATACTTGTAGTCTGGGTTACTACATATACTTGTAGTCTGGGTTACTACATGTCTAGATACAGACTTGTAGCTTGATTTACTAGTTACTACATACACTTTTCAGCCTGATCATACATATATCACCATATACCAGGAATGTGACCCCTGATCTCACAGAAACTACACCAATCTAACACAGACGAACAGTCTCATGAACTTTGACTTTGTCATTTAAACATCTTCTCTCTTCTGGAAAATATGACACAGAGAGTCTGGTGAATGTTTTAGATGACAATTTCCTGTCATCTTCATGGCTGGTATTGTTGTTCTGTGTTGTTGTCCTGGCCATCATGTTGTTCTGTGTTGTTGTCCTGGCCATCATGTTGTTCTGTGTTGTTGTCCTGGCCATCATGTTGTTCTGTGTTGTTGTCCTGGCCATCATGTTGTTCTGTGTTGTTGTCCTGGCCATCATGTTGTTCTGTGTTGTTGTCCTGGCCATCATGTTGTTCTGTGTTGTTGTCCTGGCCATCATGTNTTGTTCTGTGTTGTTGTCCTGGCCATCATGTTGTTCTGTGTTGTTGTCCTGGCCATCATATTGTTCTGTGTTGTTGTCCTGGCCATCATGTTGTTCTGTGTTGTTGTCCTGGCCATCATGTTGTTTGAGTCTGTGTGTGTATTTGTTCAGGACATCATAATGTTGTCATTTTTCAGTCTCCATTATTGTGTTGTAGTTATTGCTATGAGTAGTCATCATCACCGTCGTTTTGTTGTTGTTGTTGCTGCAGTTGCTGCTGCTGTAAAGCTTGCTGCATCTGTATCCACTGCTGTTGTTCCAGCTGAGCTTGTTCCTGTCGTGCCTAATAAGGAAATACAGTAAAATCGTTTTCACAAGTTTATGTATTATTAGGATTACACTCCTAAGCTGGACACACTATTAAATAAATACCCAGCTTACATACTAGGATATTAAAGTGCAATAATTTTACTTGTGTAACCAGTGGGCATTTGTACGACTACTTGTACTAACATAAAACGTTCTTCCTAGTCAAGAAACTACAACTATCTATTTTTAGAAGTTGCTCCCACTCAATTTTTCTTGGTAGAGCTATCACAATATTATTATAGAAACTATGTTCAATATCAATGCAGTATTTTACAACTCACCCTGGCAAATAGTTCTTGCTGTTGACGTAACAATTCTTCCTCCGGGATTCCCAGGTTCTCTAAGCGAGAACTTCCCTTACGTTTCTTGGCAGCTACAGCTTTGGCCTCCTCTAGAACAGCTACAGCATCCTCCTTGTATCCACTAAACCCCAAGCTGTCTAGAGCTGTAAAACCACAATATACTCAATGTTACTGCACATCCTTGTATCAACTAAACCCCAAGCTGTCTAGAGCTGTAAAACCACAATATACTCAATGTTACTGCACATCCTATGTCATTCAATTGTACAGCATAGCCAATATGTCATTCAACTTTGTACACATAACAATTTTATATATAAGAATGCAAATGTAGCTTTCCGAGTATTTTTTTTAAATTTCTTAATGAATTGCTGATACCACATCTCAATCACACATATGTACTATTTTGTATTCCCATGGTATCACTCTTGTATATATAGTGGACTACATAGCCCAAAACTTACTGTCAACAATGTGATCCATGTCTTTGGTTTACAATATTTAGAGTTTTACTTGCGTTGTTATTTTCAGTCTTGTAATGTAACTGTTCTATACTTTTTTGTTTACCAAGCTATGTTTCTTGTTATAGAAGTAAGTTGCTCAAAAAAAAGATAACTTTATATCATTGTCACAAATACATGGATTTCCTTGCCCCATATAGAAATATACACAACATAATGAAGTGTGCACATGATACATTTAATTTGACTCCCACTGCCTGCTTACCTGGTCTCAGATTGTTCACTGTTTGACTTTTGATATCCAGCAGAATTGTGTACATCATGCTTTTTGCTTAAATATAATTAGTGGCATAATTATCTCATTACTCAGCGTAAAATATACCATTTATTATTTTGATATACCTGTTAAGTACTTTTACAAAACATATAATTACCTGCTAATACATGTTCTGGAGATATTGTCTTTTTCTGTTGTTTATTGCAAATGTCATTTGCCTCGGAAGACACAAGGTGGATAAATTCTGTGCAACAGTTGAGGATTAGCTCCCTTGCATCATTTGCGACACGTATGTTTGGTATCAGTTCTTTGATCATCTTATTCAGCGCTGCTCTTGGTATACTAAGTTCATCATCTTCTCTATTGTCTGCCATATCTGATATATATATTAAATAATCCTTGATTGGTCTGTCTGATCATCCACTGTAGAAGACACTATAGAGCTCATCTATGTTAAACAAGCTTTCTGTAGATGTTTCACAAGGAAAATTTCTTCAGTTTGGAGAAATTCAGAGTTGCAGGTGGATATAGTGATTGTTAAAGTTTCGAAGTTCTTGTGGAGGGTAGGTGAGAAAAGTTGGTCACGTGTGTGCACAATTGGTGATGTAAAGTGATACAATCCTCCTCTGACACTTTAGTACCATAGTTTACAGTCGTACTTCCAATAAAGTTGACTTCACCTTTAAAATAATCAGAAAAAACAAAATCATACAAATGACATTTCCAAGTGAAGAAATACTGTGTATTGTATCGGAATGGTATCTAGTATTTATACATTAAACAGACCACATTTCTTTTTTTAATTTCAGCAAGTCCAGTACACTCTGTTGATTGAGTTTTACATAACTGTTAAGACCCATAACAGCTGTATCAACCTATCTGATATAGGTCTTCTGAGCTACTTTGACATAATTTTCTTTCTTAAAAAACCAATGCAGAGTCACATTTAAAAGAAGTCTTTATCACCATGTCACCTTGGTAAAATACTAGCCGCTTCCTACCAACTTGGTCAAGGAAAATTTCTCTTTAGCTCATTAAGTACTTGTACAGCATATGACTACTAAACCAGAGGTCCAGAGTTCGACCCCTGGCGGAGGTGTCAGGCCTTGAAAAATAATGACATCTTTCACAAATACATGTATGTTGAATATGAAGGACATCAAATAAAAGTACTTTTTTCTTTTTGTTTTGCAGTCAACATTACTATAAAACCTATAAATTGTATGCAACTGCTTTAGTTTTTCATAAAACTGAAACCTTAGAAATAAGGTGACAGTACCCAAATTGGATCGCCAAACCATCATTTTATTAAATCATTGAAATATCTGAGGAGGAATTATATTCATTTATAATTGTATCAAAAATAGAATATCGATGGGTGTTCTCACAAACGAAATTAGCACCCGGAGCTCACTTGAGATATTTATAGAACGCTCTTAAGTCACAAATCAGTGTCTCCTGTTTTTGCGAATGTCGGGACCCAAATCGTACGCTTCAAATGAATATTTTTTTGTCAGCATATTAACATTTTATGATGTCTTTTAGAATTTTTATGACAAAAAGTATTGATATAGTGTGAATTTATTCCTATAGTCCAAAACAAAGTACAAAGTCGTCGCACGCGCCATTTTTTAAAAACGTAATAAAAACATTGACATTTGAGTTTGAATTACGTTTTCTTGCTTTATTTGAACTTAAAAATTAATTGATTATCTGTAGCCAAAAAATGCGGCATGGCTATCTATTCTTAGACTACATCATTGTTATAACTGATTTGTTGACACATTTATTTATTTATAAGCATTTTTTCAAAAAGTGATCCGATTTGGGTACCAATCCGATTTGGGTACTGCCACCAGGACAGATATAAACACCATGAAGTCATGGCTCCATACTAAGAGATTAGTTCCCTATATGAAAGAAGTACAGGTGAATATATATAGCTATAGAACAACAATAATCTCAATCAGCAGAGTATACTTGACCTGTTAGCTAGGTATGTAACAATTTAACTAGTACATATTGATTGTATATTTCTGTGGCATGTTTAAATTGTACATAAAATCCTGGATACAATTAAAACCTTGTCACAGAATGACAAAAAAATATTAAACAGTTAAATAAGACGAGAAAATGCATTACAATGAAACATATATTTATACACACTGTTAGCCATACAATGTACATATATTCGAATCATGTGCATTTGGCTCTCGGCAAGTATCAATATTGCACAGACTCGAATGCTGTCTGCTTTTCACAAATACACAACGACTGGTACAGCAAGGGTGACATGTGTCAATATATTGGTCTCATGTTATGGCAATGAACATTTCGTGTAGCGTGTTATAAATAAGGAGATCGTCGTAGGTACCAACAGAACGTTCCATTGGCATATCAACAGGGGTAATACCTACAACACATTCGTCTCCAAACGTGGTATTATGTGCCTACCGGAGCTGCTCACAAGGAAAATAATTGTGCCGCATAGGTGTAAGGAAATTAAAAATCGGGCAAAATTGTGTCCGTTGATATGAGCAATAAATACCTGATATGTATATTTGTACAGTATTGAAGCATATAGCCATGCAAATATTTAATTTAGAATCGAAAACTACATAGTTAAGAAAAAGAAGAAATGTTATTATTTATAACATATTAAGCGACGTTTCTACTTTCTATTTCCGTAGGAAGGTAACAGAAACGACGTATTTCCCCGAGGTCAATTTGTGTGACTCAGCTGGTTGTCATCCACAGATATAATGTGAGAGAACTATTCAAATCTGTCCAATATGTACGTCTATTTCAAGTTTAATGGCGAAACGTTCGTTGTTCCAGACGTGAAACTTAAGGATGGCTACCTACCAATGGTCGACAATGTTGGTGGGGACTTACAGTTTATTGAACCAGGAATTTGGTTTAAAACTTTGATCGTTGACTCTGTTTCGGTAGACTGTGATTTTAAAATTCTGCAGTGGATAAAATCAAATGATAGCCTATGTCCATTGTCACCAGATGAACGAGCGTCAATGTCGCCAAAGAAGCAACTGGAAGTTCTCGGTCTTAAAGACTGTTCAGGGAGTAGTCAATGCATGGAGTTCGATTCAGAAGTAGATGACCTGTTTGATACGGCTAGAAACTTTTTTGAAAATAAGCAAATTCTACCAGTTGGTGCTTCAGTTTGCCTGACTGTTAAACCAGAAGTTGAAGATCATCCGCCAACTAGATTCAACCAAGAAATTCTCCGTCTGGTACATTGCTATATTCTACCCTCTATCAACTTGAATCTTGATGATGCTCAGTCTTTGAAGACAGCTCTCCGGTGTATTGAAATTTGTCTGAAAAATGCTGAAACAGAAATCCTTCAAAAAGACAAGGCTATTTCACTAACTGAGAATTCCTTGCGTAAACAGAGGGAAAGTTTTCTCAAAGATCCAAATTTTGAAAGAGAAAGTTACATCAGGGAATGCAGTGTGGATTTCTTAACTTCATTTCTTGCTCATTTGGAAAAGGATATCCAACAAGAAGCAGAACAAATGCAAAAATATCAAAGTCAGGTTAATGAACTGAGGGACAAGCAAGGTGACCATGTGCAAGAACAGCTGGATAAAGCCCGTAAAGCGAGAGATAAGATACACAAAGTACTTACAGCAATGCAAATGATGCGTGAAAATATCAAGAATGTAGTTGTACGTCAACAAGTGCCACCCAGAAAAAGAAGATCAAGGAAAGTAAGCGTAAAAGTATTCCATGAGATTTACTTGGAGATTACTGTCAGACTTCGAAGTGAAAAGGAGAACATCCACAAGTTAATTCTAAGAAAGGTGAAAATAGCATCTGTTAGAGAAGCTATCTGCTTAGCACAAGAAGAGCTGGCTACTGTAGGGCACTCGATGGGTTGGCAGTCACTTTATGATGGAACCTGCAGTTCAACTGATGTTGGCATCTTAAGTACTAAACCAAAGGAATGGGCAACCATCGGGGAAAGAGTATCTTCTATCATCAACAGTGGTGACACACAGCATCGGTATCGTCATTTCTGTGATAACCTCACTCAAAAAATAGAGGGATCTATGGGTGAAGCTAGCTTCTTTGTCCAGTTGTCAGAGAATGACGTCCAATATCCTGAATGTGAGGGATTTGTTAACATTTGTACTGGCACAGATAGTATGCCGGACATAAATGCAAACAAAGACAAACGGTTGATCTTCCCGGACTTCCAGTCATTACCAGTGATGAAATATCAGGTTGATAAGAAGTTACCTGTGGAAGGCGGAGTTTACCATCCTAATACTCTGCCTCTACACTCACTTATGGACGCCGTCAAGTTTGAAGTAAAAAAGCATATGGAGGAAATGTGTAAACGTATAATTTACATCCTGGGACAGGAAGATCAGAGGGAAAATTCTAACACAAGACAATTTTCCAAGAAAAACAGTAAAGATACATACAAAAATGTTTGGCTTTGCTATGAATCTCATTTGTATGAGAGAATTAGTGTGAAGTTGAATATGTTGTATGAAAGCAGATACAGGAAAAAGTCAAGAAATCTGGCTGAGAAACTTGTTGGGGTTTCTCTGCAAGAACTTGGAATTGATGATCCTTGGCTAGCCATTGTGGCTGAACCAGAGGACTGGGAAAACACCCAATTGAAAGTACCCTTAGATGACACGGACTCTGTAGAACTGAGGAGCTCTAGAAATAGCAGAAACAGGAGACAAGACAAAAGAAAGACATTATCAAACTCACTCGGGAATATGTCCATAGAAAAACTGTATCAATGTGCCGACAGGGAGTTGAAGGATATGGATGGCTTTGAAGATTTTTCATTTAGCTTGGCTGATGAGGATGACACAGAAAGGGATATGTGCAGACAACAAAAAGAGCTTCAAAGAAATGAGACTGATATGATGGGGCCACCATCCTATGAGGACGCTTCAGCCATGTCAGTAGATGAAGCATCAGGCTTCAGTCATCTCCCATCATACGATGAAGCTTTTGTAATGCCAGGGGGTCCTGAGACATCCACAATGCTGAGGACTAAACCTGAGTCACAGTACAATCCGTCAGTCAGGAATGGCCAAGTGCTGCCCACTTGTGGTGGAATGCAGAGTCTGTCATCTGAGGAATCGATCAGAAGGTTCAGCAGCAACATTGATGAGGTGATCAAGGTGGCACCAATTAACTTAAAAGTGAAGAACATCACAAAAGCATTCAAGTTTGTTGCTACGGAGGTATCAAAGTTAAAGGTGGCTGCTTCACCCCCTGGTGGGGTATACCAGCCGTGCGCAGACGACATGCTCACAGTGATCATCGTCATGCTGACACAGCTGGAATCAGAAATGTTCACAAAACTATTTGCTCATTTGAACATGATACTCGACTTGATGCCTCCATTCATGAATGGAAGTGAACATGACTGTGCCCTGATGAACTTCCACATTGCCTTCCAGTATTTGTTTGATAGACATGTACTGAATCAGTCAAGGAGCAGCAGGGAACTAGATTTGTGAGTTGTCTGTTCCTTGATTTTACTGTGGAAGAAGTGGAGACAGGGTTTGTGAGTTATTTGTTTGTGGCAAAGCAGTGCAGGGACAAAGTTTTTCTGTTATCTCTTGTCTGTTCTTGATTTTATTAATTTGATGCAGAGAGTAAGATTTGTGATTTATCTTCCCCTTCACAACATCGTTGTAGAAAGTTATAATTGAGATATATCTCCCCCTAAATGTCTTAACAGGAGAGAGCTGCACTTGTGATTTGTCCACCCTGAAGGTCAATGGTGGATAGAGCTTGTGAGTTTTCACCCCTCAGTGTCATTGGTGGACAGAGCGGGATTGTGAGTTATCTCCCCTTAGTGTCATCATGACTTTTCATGAAATAAAGATTTTTTTTTATTATTAAAGCTGTAGTGTTAAAATGGGTTTATATTATGTTACAAATCAAGCTGATACTACCATAGGTTACTTAAGTGGGAATTAACATGTTGGTGGTTTGGCAGACCCACATGTAGATTGCAAACACTTGAAATTAAATTAGTCAAGTGTAACATCAGTGAAATATGTTGTTGCAAAATTTTAAGCTTCAGCAAACTTTCATATTACAGACTAACTTGTATATACTCACATAATCATGATCACTTTACTAGGATAAACCGAGACAAGCTTACTAGTCCAGTGCTCAGATTTAAGTGAAATTCTCCCTGCATGATCATGATGCACTACAAGTAGATTGTAAACTACTGTGACATACCAGGTGTGTCCCAAAGCTTATCTAACACTCTCTCACTGTTACATTCAATCACCACGTACATTGTAGTTGGTCTACTAGATAGATTTGAAGATGTTTTTCAACCGAATGGTATTGTTTATATGTTGTGTGTGAATACAACGTGAACGTTTGGTTTATACTATGTTGTGTGTAAATATACATGTTGTAGAAGTATATTTAATTCTGTGTAACCTGTCATAACCATACATAGTCCAGAAACTTTAATGATCAAGACTCTAAACTGGGTCCCTGTGTGATGTATGATATTGTGATGTGAGTATGGACTGGTCCTGGTGGGCCAGGTTTGCTGTCTGTAACAGTTATTAAATTATGGTTGGGTGTATTATATTTTTATTGAGGAGTGATCTCCACACTATTTGAAGCTACCAGCTATTGCGTCATTGTCAGACGCTGTAATGTGAGTCTGCATGCTCTAATAGGCATCTGTTCACTTATACTTGTATGTAAATATACCAGTACATTATTTTGTTACTCACCTTGTATTTAATAGCCATAATTTCACCGATCACTTTAATTTATATAGATCATCAGCTATGTTAGTTTCTAAAAAATTCTCATATCAATATGTTTTTACCTTGTTTCTCTTGACAACAAAATATTAATTGCTTTTCCCCCCCTTAAAGCCTGTTTATCTTTGCATGGGTAAAATAACATTTGTGCACCCAATTTAGCGCCACACATAGGGACAAATAACATGGTCTGATAGGTGCAACAGTTGGTAGTCAGCTTACAACCCAGCCAATATAATTACTATAATTTGAATACCTCCAGCTGCAAAAGTATTATCAGTCCTGTAATTAGGCAACAGATGTATCCTGTTGTTAGGAAGTATTGTATAGAATGTGGGTCTCGAGAACAGATTGTCTCTTACTTACTTACTATTTATAAATATCCCACAGCAGCAGGAAACATCCATATACAGGTGTAACAGGAGAGGAAAAATGTACGGCCAGACCGGGGTTCGAACTCAGGACCCTCCAAACTCTAGACAGATGCTCTACCAATTGAGCTATCTGGGCGCCAACAATCGACCCAGTTCAGTTCTGCTACACATGGTATACTTTTATAAAAGGTTAATTTAAGGTAAATTGATTCATCCCTTTCGTCAAAGCCCTGAAGTGTGAGACTTCAGAAAACTGTATACACCTGTATATGTAAAATAACTGTTTAATATCTGTTTGTATACATAACTTTTAAATGTAAATAAATTTAAGACACCTATTTATAACGAAAAAGTTGTATCAGCCAATCGTGTATGATAGAAGTGATGAGGATCCTGACTGCCACACAAACATTTCATTAACAGTCCTACGATGGACTAGAAAGGTACTTGTACAATTGGTTGTACTTGTAAAGATTTTGTTGATAACGACGATATTTCACAATGCCATCTTTGTCTTTCAGTATGTTTTTTAACGTAGATAATTTTTAATGGATTATGATTGCATGTGTATATTGGCAGTCGTAATCTGTTTGTTGTGTCAAATTTATGATGTTGTGTATTAAATAAATATGTTACTGATCTATGGTGTCTAGCACTAAGTGGGGCCATTGTATTTTATACCACTCTGTTTTATACCATTGTAATTTCCATTGTGGTACAGGTACCTTATTTGCTGTATCAGGGGCCTCAGGTGCTTAACTCAATCTTCCCTGAAATTTCATATTGAACTATTCCAACCTTTGAATTGTAGGAGTTCAAATGTGTCTTCAGGGGTGAATGAGTTAATAGAGGCCTTTTTAAAGGCACTAGAAACCGAAATAAGGATATTCTTTTTTTCTGCTGATTTTTGTCAATAATGTTACTTTGTAAGGCCAAAAAAAAAATATAGTCTGTTTAGGGTTGCATTGGCAAAAAAACTAAGGTAGGTAGGTCAGATTTTTTTTGATTTTTTTTGTATATTTTTGGTCATGTGATTATGACCCTACTATTGTATGTAAAACAAAGAATTACATAAACAAGGTTCATTTGGAGGCAAATTGTGCTCCATATGATGACATATAGCGCCCCCATGGAGCTGGAAGCCATTTAAAAGGCAAGGAACCTTCTAAAATTCAAAAATCAGCGGGTTTTTAAAAAAAACATCAAAAGCCTGGGTCGGTCAGGAACCCTAAACAGACACCTTTTTTTTTGGCCTTAAATTTATAGCCTCAGAGGCATGCTTTTTGTTTGATTACTACCTGGAAGGCTTTTTTTATCGTTTATCAGGAGTGAACATAATAAATTCTGGTATAGTCAAGAATAGTCACTAGCTTGTACAGAGAAATTAATTATATCAGGGCTCAGTGTTAAAACATTCTCAACAATCTGATAAAGAGGGGCTCCATATAGATCAGCGTACATGTTCTTTTCTTCAAGACAGGGAGGTGCCTGTTGGGTACCCATTAGATTGATTATGGTAACTGTCTACAGGGAGGTGCCTGTGGGCAACCCATTATATTGATTATGGTAACTGTCTCCAGGGAGGTGCCTGTGGGGTACTCATTAGATTGATTATGGTAACTGTCTAAAATGAGGTGCCTGTGGGGTACCCATTATATTGATAATGGTAACTGTCTACAGTGAGGTGCCTGTGGGGTACCCATTAGATTGATAATGGTAACTGTCTACAGTGAGGTGCCTGTGGGGTACCCATTTTGATTATGGTAACTGTCTACAGTGAGGTACCTGTGGGGTACCCATTATATTGATTATGGCAACTGTCTACAATGAGGTGCCTTAGGGGTACCCATTATATTGATTATGGTAACTGTCTACAGGGAGGTGCCTGTGGGTTACCCATTAGATTGATTATGGTAACTGTCTACAGTGAGGGGCCTGTGGGGTACCCATTATATTGATTATGGCAACTGTCTACAATGAGGTGCCTTAGGGGTACCCATTATATTGATTATGGTAACTGTCTACAGTGAGGGGCCTGTGGGGTACCCATTAGATTGGTTATGGTAACTGTCTACAGTGAGGTGCCTGTGGGGAACCCATTAAATTGATCATGGTAACTGTCTACAGGGAGGTGCCTGTGGGTTACCCATTAGATTGATTATGGTAACTGTCTACAGGGAGGTGCCTGTGGGCAACCCATTATATTGATTATGGTAACTGTCTACAGGGAGGTGCCTGTGGGATACCCATTAGATTGAGTATGGTAACTGTCTACAGTGAGGTGCCTGTGGGGTACTCATTAGATTGATTATGGTAACTGTCTACAGGGAGGTGCCTGGGGGGTACCCATTATATTGATTATGGCAACTGTCTACAATGAGGTGCCTTAGGGGCACCCATTATATTGATTATGGTAACTGTCTACAGGGAGGTGCCTGTGGGGTACCCATTATATTGATTATGGTAACTGTTAACAGTGAAGTGCCTGTGGAGTACCCATTATATTGATTATGGTAACTGTCTACAGGGAGGTCCCTGTGGGGTACCCAATGGGGTATGCAATAGCACAGAATCAATCTTTCTGCTGTAGATTAATAAACAAATCACCTTGACTTACCTTTGAGGTTGCAGAGACAGTTTTAATGACTACCTGTGTGTCAGTTAATGTTTACTTCCTGTAAAAAGGACAATTTCAATGATCACCTTGCCTTTCACCAAGGCAGTCAGGGTTCGATCCCCCGATCGGAAGTGAAAAAGTATGGGGTAACCTTCCCTTTCCGAGGGTTTTCTTCTGGTACTCCGGTTTCCTTCCACATTAAGACCCTCAGCGTGCTAACATCCGGGACAACAAGAGTGATTAAATAAGTTGATCTAACTTTTTTCATAATTGTTGTAAAATAAATAAAGTTTATATTTTAAAAGGTCATATGAAGATGTAATAGGAAATTGCTTACACAGTCAGCTTGAATTGTTTATAAAATGCTGAGCTTAGGTCACAGTACATCTAACATTCATCATTATATATGTACAAGGTCTTGTAGTTATATTTTAAAAGTTTGTCAGGAGTTTGGAGATGGTTATAGTGGTGATCAGCGTGTAGTAGATAGGTGGTGTTCACAAACTTAGTCACAAGTGCCTCTTCAATTATTTATTATAAACTTAGCAAGTACACAAGATAAAACACTTTAGCAAGCCATAAATTAATGCCCTTATTTAGCTTCCTCCGGGTGCTTTACATCAGACAACTTCCCTCCCTTTCATGAACTACCTGATGTACCCTTTTGTGTTATATGTATTAACATAACTGAACTATTAAGTTTGATAGATGTTTTACCTACAGAATGTGAGTGAGGAGGATAAGTTTCTCACTTGTTAAATGTTATTTTCTAACATGGAAACAATAAACTTGATTTGATCAAAAAAAATGTGTAACTTTTTTATCAATAATACCTCATGATGTAATGCCATGACACTAAGTTATCACAATGTTACAAGTGCAGCCTGTCTAGCTGTGATAGTTGTGATACAGGGGACTACAAGTACAGCCTGTCTAGCTGTGATACAGGGGACTACAAGTACACCCTATTTAGCTGTGATAGCTATGATACAGGGGACTACAAGTACAGCCTGTC